TTGTGAATATTAAGTCATTTAGTCTTTTGGTCTGACGAACACTCCCGCTGTATTCCAGTACATGATGTGTTCCATATTTTTGTGTTCGTTTGCCTTGATGACATCCCCATCTTCTTCCCTGACCACATTCTACATCAGTGGTCGTCAACCTGTCAGTTGCGATCGACAGGTAGATCTTTGCCCAATGAAAAGTTGAAAGTTTAAAAAATGTAATAATAATAATAGTAAAATACATCATGTAAAATATTTAAAAAGTATACATATTTACTACTTTACCCGAATCATAGTTTTGTTGCAAATCTGCTGCTCTGTCTCCGATCTCTGATGGGGTCATCCAAATCGTCAGCTACGCAGCTCACAGGCTACCAGCATTTTAACAGACGAAGAAGAAACAGCTTGGCAAGGCTTGCAGTCGAGATGATGGACAAACACAGGAAGAAGGCAAAAACGTACCACTTCCACTCTGAATGGGAACATAAGTTTTTGTTCACACTGGTTACAGACAAACCTGTGTGCCTCATCTGTCATCAGTCTACTGCTCTATTAAAGAAAGGTAACTCTGAGTGTCACCACAACACATACCACGACAAGTTCAGCGGGGACTACCAGCTGAAAAGCGTCCTGTGTACCAGCAAAGTTAGGGAGCTGAAGACAGCACTGAAGGCCCAGCAGCAACTTTGTACCAAGCCAAGAAGAACCAAGGCCTTCTGGTGCCGGACCAGGGGTGGGGAGTGGTGAGAAACTGTTAGGTCCAGTTACCGTACTTAGGTCATGTTTTTGTTTGTTCTTAGTTTTTTTCTTCTTTTTTTTTTTTTTGCAGCTTCCTGTTTGTGTCCATACTCACCCTCTTTCTTGTTTTAGGTCCCTTGACTCTCCTCGGTCTTTGTCCGCTTTCCCACCTGTGCAATCATCTGCCCTACTCTAATGTGCTGTGTGTCATTTTCTACCCTGGTCCAGGGTATAAATACTCAACCTCTTCCTCATGTTCATCGCCAGTTCATCTTGTGACCCTGTGCCAGGGTCCCAGCCTTTACTTGTGATCTCTAGTGCTTAGTGTATATTTTGACACTGTCTGTTTTTTCTTTTTTTTCCCTATTACATCAAACATTGCCTTTTTAAAAATGGCTTAAAAATATAGCCTTCAGTGTAACAATACTATGATTTTTCTGTCTGTATAGGTTTGCTAAATACTTCAAAATGGAAAATGGGACAGATTATCGCACTCTGGTCAAAGCCTATGCTATTAGGTTTGATGTGCTGGTCAATGGAAATGTAAGTATATATTTGTATGTGTGGGTCAAAGGGAGGGAGAAACAATGACTAGACTGAAAACAACGCTTTAAACACGTGTACCTGCAAATTAATTTTGAATAATGACACTGGGATATGAATCTGCATGCTGTCATTTTAACAGTTTTGAATAGAAGGTACTTGCTTTTTTTTTCAGTGTACTAAAACTTGTTTTATGGCACGAGTTGTGTAAGTTTTAGTTAGGGTTAGTTTTCTAATGACAGGAAAAAATCAGTTTTTGCAATGCTGTATTTATGGAGACTGACTGCTGAATTCTGTTCTTCATTTGTAGGCTGGAAAGTTCGACATGATCCCCACACTCATTAACATGGTGGCAGCCTTCACGTCAGTGGGAGTGGTGAGTTTTATTTGTATACTTGACAAAACCAGGGAAAAAGGTTCGGTATGTACCAGTATTTTTTTTTGACTAGTTTTGCTTGTCAGAACTGAAAACGCCCTGTTTATGGGGAATTCTAAAAAATTGTTTAGTTATTTGGCTTTTGTTGTATGAAAGCAACAGTTTGAAAATTTACTCCTCACTAACTGAACCTTAAGTGTGAATCGTACTGCGTTTTAGAGGTTAGTAAGTTTTGAGGAAATTTTGGGCTTCTTTTGGCCTTTACTGTTTCCTTTTAAAGATGTGTATCTACTCTTGTGTGGGTGAGACTTTTATAAACAAAGAGTTCTATTATTAGTGGATATATTATCCAATAGATTTAACCAGTTATCCAGTGACAGTTGCACATCTGGTGTAGGCTTAATATGTCTATATGCTCATATGTTTGTCCCACTTTGATTACACTGCTCTACAGGAAAAAAAATGTCTCTGTTGTTTGAAATCTGAGAGGTGTATTAACACATTTTAAGTCTGCTGAGTTCAAATATGTTATCAGATTTTTTCTATCACATCCAGATTTTGCACAAAATGGAACACAAAATTCAGGATGTACAGTGTGTCACATTTCTGCAAATATTTTATTATATATTTTCATGGGACAACACTGAAGAAATGACACTTTACTACAATGTAAAGTAGTCAGTATACAGCTTGTATAACAGTGTAAATTTACTGGAGAGTTTTGCCCTGGTTGATGCAAGGACACTTGGTCGAGTTTTCTCCCAAGTAAATCCAACAGCCTGCCTTATAGATCCAATTGCCACACCACTTTTAAAATCTTTCATGGATTTTCTGAGGAACAGATTTTAAACATTATGACTCGCTCTCTTCAGATGGTTGTCTCCCCCACTGCCTTTAAAACAAAAATCTGTGAGGTTCTGTTGTTGCTTGGAGGTATTAAAGCTGCCACAAATGTACCAACACTGGTCAGGATCATTTTTACATGAAACATGACTGCTTGCCATATTTCTTGCACTTGCACAACCAGAATGAAAAGCAAGGATGCAAATAAATGTGTCCCAAAAAACTGGAAGTCACTGCCTCTTATCTGTGCAAGTTTAAAGTTATTTCTGACCCTGTAGTTGCACTTTGTATGGCAGCTTCAGGGATTATCCTGTACACATTCACATGAAATGGGCAAAAACTGCTAAAAATGAGCACCTTCAATTCTGACAAACTGAGATGTGATACAAAAAATCTGATTGCAAATTCAGAATCAGCAGCCTCAGAAACATCTAAAACAGTACTCAGTTTTGAGTCAGAAAATTCACTGTAGACCAGTGTTATGATGAACTGTGTATACAGTTAAAAGCTGTGATCTGTGTGCTCCAAGTTTATATTTTCCTTTGGAAGTTGCTGTCCTCGAGCTGAGAAGCACTGGATTAAGGTGCATTTTGCTGTAAGATGTGTAGAGAAACTTGTTTTACTAGTTTTTGTTGTTAATATTCTATTATGTAGGGTACAGTGCTGTGTGACATCATACTGCTGAACTTCCTGAAAGGCGCGGAGCAATACAAAGCCAAGAAATTTGAAGAGGTAAAGTATCTAATTCTTGCGATAACTGATAACAATGTAATGCACATAATCAGATAGATTGTTAGATGTAATGCTAATATGATATTAGTCATAATGTTGGCAGCAAGAGAGGTTAAAGAATAATTGTCCTAAAACATAAATTGAAAGGCTAAACATCTTCAAAAGAACACCATCCTGGAAAATACCTGATCTCCTCCCCTCTCCCAGACTTGGGAGGCTCTGACCCTAAAGGTTACGTGTCCTCTGGTTGCCCCAACCTAATACTGGAGGGTCTTACGCTGCATTCAGGCTCCTTAGAAATTAGAATGCAAGCCAGAAATACAGAAAATGAGTTAAAAGAAGCTAAAAAGCTTCATATGGTGGAGCACAGGGGAGTACTGGAGCTGGGCAATAATTCTCTGCCAGCTGATCCATTGTTCTTATAAAAGAAAATTAAGCTTTAATCTTAAATGTCAGCAGTCAGCAGGGTTGACTGAAGTTTAGAAAAAGTTCATCCTTACTTTTATCATTGTGTTCCACTAAAACTGGAGTTCAAAGGTTTAACTTGTAATATACTAAACTGAGAAGCAACATATCTCTTCTTTTTTTTTTTGTTGTCTCATTTACTGTAGGTGTCGGACAGCCCACTGGAATCCCAAAGCAATGGGTTGTATCGCTCCAAGCTGTCACTCAGGCAAACCATCATGAGGTCCAGTGACTCAGGGGCATTTTCTATTGAACATTACAGCTGAATGAACAGGAGAAACTTCCATGTTTTAAAGTTTTATTAATTTAACTGATTCATGGTTGTCTTCACATACTGTACAACACACATACACATGCCCACGTGATTTTGTTAATATCCAAAAGCATCAGAAGAACTTTGAATTGACGCTGTGTTGCTCTAATCTAACTCAAGACAGCTACAGACAAGGACTAATACTTAATAAAAGAATACAAAAGCATGGTTGTCTTTGCATGGTGACATTTTTGTAGCCTATGTTACGCTAAACCAGCAATAAACCAGACAGCTGGCATGAAGCGGTTTACTTGGTCGTCTTTAATAGCTCTTTTGTGGTAACTAATCTGATGCATTTACTCAGTGTATTGGAGTCACATTCTGATAATAACCAATCCCAAAATAATAGCATTCTATTGCTAATGTCTGTGCCTTTGTGTGCGTGGTTATATACGGTCATGAACAAAAGTTCATATGCAGTTGGAAAGACCATGTATATCATGGCAGCCTTGAATTTCTAATGACTCTTATGACTGAATTTTCTATGATGGAACCATTGAAACCCATGTGTCTTTGTCACAATAAAGTGATCATGCAGTTTGGTTCTTTCATAGATTTATAATAGGTCTTATAAAAATGTAGCAAAATCAGCTGGGTCGGGGCACCTCGGTAGCTCAGCAGGTTGAGTGGGTGACATAAATAGGGGCTATAGTCCCAGACTATATGGGTTCAAATCTGGCCCATGGCCATTGGCTGCAGGACCTTCACCCACTCTTCTCCCTACATTGCTATCTTCCTCTCCATTTACCTACTGAATAAAGCCTAAAGGCCAAAAATGATATATATCAAAAAAAGAAAAAAAGAAAAAAAAAAATTTGCTGGGTCAAAAATATCATAAAGCAAAGCTAATATTTGGTTATACATCCTTCGGCCATTTTCACTTCAACTAGGCACTTTTGGTAGCTACAAGTCTACAAGCTTCTGGTTCTATCTTTGACCATTCCTGTTGACAGAATTGATACAGTTTAAATTTGTTGGCTTTCTGACACAGACTTCATCTTTCTTCTTTGCAAGGTCTCATAAAGACAATGTACAAACCATGATGGTGTGACATGATGGCTATACATATGGATACGTAGATAATATCACATCATAAATTTACATATGGCTATATGACATGATGAATATGAATGTGGATATGTGCAGGTATGGCATGATGGATAATGTACCCACAGTTCTGCTATTGCTGTCAAAAATGTTATTGAGAGAAAATACCAGTGTTAACTTGATGCTATTGCACATGAAGAGCTGTAACAGAACAGTGCTGCATTTTGTTGTTGATCTGAAAGATCTGTAAGGAGACAACACAACTGTAAAACAATTTTCTGAGGTTACATGGGAGCAATCAGTGTTTAATGACATTTTAGTACTGAAAGAGCTATAGGGGGGAAAACAGTGTTTATAAAGAGCTATAGAGAGAAAAACAACATTAAGGGATGGTGTTCTACCGCAAGAGCAATAGGGAGAAGAAACGTGATTAAGTGATGGGTTATAAGTGGAAGACGGCGGAGGGCGGAGGAGGTAAGTGATGTTGACCTGGAAGAGCTACAGGATACAAAAAAAAAAAAAAAAGTAAAAAACATAGTATCACTGGAAATGCTACAGGACAAGCAAACAAATAAACAAACAAAAAACTGTTAAAATGTAGTGGAAGAACTATAAACAGTAAAAAGACAGCATTACATGATGCCAATTGTTGCTCTCCAATCCAAAGGACCTCAGTCTCCTCAGCAGATGGAAACAACTTTGGCCTTTCTTTTACAGAACATCAGCATTATGTGACCAGTCCAGTTTATTATTGAACACCCAGGTCCTTGCATTTTTCCTCCATCTTGGTGTCCCTGGATGTTCACTGATGTAATCTGGGGTGATTTTCTGTGGAAGTCTATCACAATCTCCTTTATCTTGCTGGTGTTTAGGTGGAAATGGTTCAGCTCACACCAGTTGAGAAAGTTCTGGATGACCTCCTTGTACTCGTGTTTGTTCAGTTCTGATACATGAGCTTCTGGAGATGACAGCTAGAGGATTTGTATGTGAAGTCCAACGTGTGCAGGTTGAAGAGAAAGAGAGCAAACACCTGTGTAACCCCCATACTGCAGACCATGTCATTAGACACACAGCCGTGGACCTTCACATAATGCGTGCAGTTAGGGAGGTAGTTAATAGTCCACCCGCCCAGGTGGCAGTCCACTCCTGCTTCCTCTGGCTTACCTCTGAGCAACGATGGTTGAGTTGTGCTGAATGCACTGGAAATGTAAAATTAACCAGTTTACCACATTTGATCAAATAGCAGTATTTGACATAATAAGTAAAGTTTTTCCAATTCAAATACATTTTGGTTGATTAGCCATACATATTAAAAAAGATTTGTTTTTCATCTATAGTTATCTGTGCATTTTTCATCTGTCTACAATATTCACAGATCAGTGCAAACTCAAAGTGCAATAATAGCTATTATATTTAACTTTTAAGACTTTCTGTCTTAAAACTCTTTGTTGCAATATTTGCACACAACCATGTTCTTATCTAAGCTTCCTCATACTACTTGTCCACATGATCCATCAATTTCTCGCTTCCCATTCCCATTGTCTGTGTTAAATGTCGAGTGTCTTGTCCTGGACTGTTGCGGGGAGCTTCAAGGAAAGGCAATTTTTCTACTTATAAACTTTTTTTTTTTTTTTATGTTTTACTGTCTGTTGACTTGTTTTGATTGGTTTTCAGTTCACTGTAATTATGACCTGTTCTTTCATCTGATTGTACCATCAGACACTGAAAGGAAAGCATAGCCGATTCGGTAAGTAAGTGACCATTATCATAATTTCTGCCGGTTTTAATGCACTTTATATGCACTTTAGCATCAAACATAATGTGTACAGTGCACCCTGGAAAGTGCAGTTAATTTATCTGTGTTGTACAGAGGAGAGATTTAGGATCCAGTAAATATTATCTTTAATGTGAATGAAGATTCCTTTTTTAAATGGAAATGCTATTAAATCGCATTCCAGTGTCTTAGACTACAAGAGTATTCTGTGTTAAATTTGTAACTATAGCGTGATCCAGACTCCAAACCGGTTGGTGGCGCTAATGCCCCAACCGCCAATAAACCTCCAAAAACAAGAAGAAGCCGTCAGAAGAGAGACCGGAAGTTACGTTGTGTGACTTCCTGTGCACGCCGGATCCGCTGCGTAAGTCGTCCGCTGTTCGGTTAAGAAGGCCAAATAGGCACATCTCGGTAAGTTCAAGATCATTAACGGTACCAAATACTTCATTCTTAAACAAATAATTTACGTCACATTTAAGGGTTATTTTAAATTGATGCATTTTTCTGGTCTCAGTTGCCCTTCATCCACCTCAGGCGACCTTTGTGCAAAAGTCCTTGACAGTATGTGCTCCAAGCCGGCTACTAAACAGTGCTAGCTTAGCAAGAAACCTTTACTTCTCACAAGTAAACCCAACGTCAACTCGTGTTTATTGTCCTTTGTAAGTTCTCATTTGCAATAAAGTGCAGTGTTTACGAGGTGTTTTAGGTGAGAGCTCTGCGATCTCTTGCTGGTAACGCCACTGGTATAGCAGGGCTACGTCAAGCCTTTATGTCAACGTATATGTGAAGAGTTTAAATCACGAGTTAACGTTATGAGCTCAAAAATAATAATGCCACATCATCAGTGATGTATTTCATTTAATACAATCTTTACATTGCTTAGCACGTTGCATAAGAAATTCACGTTTGGTAAGTAAGGATTGTTTTACGTCTTTGGCGTATCAGAGTTTGTACTTTTCAGTCACCATTGCACTGCTTATATTAACCCAGGCGACTGGGAATTGATAGTTTTTTGTTTGTTTGTCTAGACCTATTTTGTGTTTCAACTTTATCCATTGGTACATGGTTTCAGATTTAAAGACGTGATGGCTGCAACATTGCGTTTACTGTACTCCGTGTCAAGGCCAGGTAAGAATTCTCAGTAGCACAGTAGCACAAATACAAGTAGTTGGTTAATACTACTTTATAAACAGTTCAATACCTCTGTCATAGTGACAGTTTGATAAATAGCCACATAAACAAAGATAAATTTCTTGTCAGTCTTTCTATTTTTTGTGCCATGCACCTTAGACCGATTTGGTCAGCTTTAATGATTTACATGGTAGCTTTTTATTATGTTGTTGTCATCAGATTTGTCACAAAGCTGCTTGTCAGTCATCAGAAACAAACACAAATTGAGGGTTTGTGATAATTTGTTGTCAAGGTAACTGAATTGTATTTTGCATTTGTACAGACAGTGGCACAAAATTGTTGTACTCTCCAATAAATTTCATATAGTGGTGTTAATAAGAAGTTGTAATTCTTTTTCAACCAATAGGCACCTTTGTGGGCAGCCAGAATCTAGTGAGGTCCTTCAGTGTGTCTCCACAAAGGGATGGATTCAGTAAGTACCACTACAACACAGCTCCTTTTTAGGGGCTGTATAAATAAGTGACATGAGTAAGTGGGTTATTGGGTGTTATGCTACAATTTTCCAGCTTGCCACTGTGAGTCCATCAAACTGCTTCTGATTGGAGTACACCTGGATGTGTTATTTGACTGTAACATTGCCAACATAGTTCTGTATGTAGTAGAGTACAGTTGATGTGTATTCCCCCAAGTCCTGCTTCTCAATGATGTCCCAGTTAGACCTCTCAAAACAGTCTTACAGCTGCGACTGAACTCATTCAGGCCATGTTTTTACAGTTCCTATGGTGGGTTAAGCTATATTTCTGAAAGGGCTGTATGATGGGGTTTAGAGCATTGACAAGTGATCTGACTGGCCTAAGATTGGAAGTTGTGTTGATTTAAAGCCTGGAACAACTGATGTGTTGCTCAAATGTAGGGACAACTGTCTTTGAATCTGCATGGTTAAAATCCCAGCCATATGTGCTAATCTAGGGCTGTGCTAGCATTAGCACCTGTTGGAATGTAAACAGCTGTACCTAATATCAACAACAGTAAACTTACATAGAAGGTAAGTGGGGCTGTATTTAACGATCAGGTTCTCCAAATCATGAAAACGGTAGCGGTCATGATTTTGGCGACAGTGCACCAGTTGTTGAGGATGTATATATGCAGTCCTCCTCCCTTGCTATTACCAAAGTCTTTGCCTTCGTTTCAGCAAAATGCTTTGCGTCCTTTTAGCTCCGTGGGAATTAGTGGGTGAAGCCAAGTCTCTTTTGTAAGCAGAATACAACAGTCCTGTATAAGTTTATTGGCAGAGATTTGTAGTTTTAGTTGGCCCATTTTGTTGGTGATGGAGCTGGCATTTGTGAGAAAGATTCTTGTTAGAGGTGGTTTGTGTGGTTTTGCCTTAGCCTGGTGAGTAGACTGGACTGGCATCCTTGTTTCTGCTTCTTTGCCTCCATCTCCAGCGCCTGTCAGGGTTGATAACATGGAGAGCCCAGTGACCTGGCTATGTCCTCCGGTATATTGTGCGTGCAGAAATTCACTCGTAATGACCTGATTACACTGTAGAGCTCTGATCAAAAGATCGTGTAGGCTGTAGGTGGAATTCGCATGACTGAAATTAAAATTGGGCAACAAAGGAGGATAGCGTTAAGTGTGTGCCCTATCAGTGTGGCACCACAGAATCAAAATGTACATGGGAAAAAGGATTGTTGTCAGCTTTTTCCCCACAGAATAGAATTAATCCAGTTCACAAATGGTTCGTATCATGAACGCTTCTGTGCAAATTTTTCCCAAATGTACATGTTCTAGTTAATGCTGACACATTACTGCATCTGTTCTTACCACAATGCTGTCAGTCTGAAAGAACCAAGTCCTCAAACTAGTGATTATAAGAATGTAAGGGCTACCCTTCCCTATCCATTTCTCCTAACTGTGGCAATGGGGGCTCTGGTTTCATTTAAGTGTTTTTACTGTAGCCCGGCTCATGCTGCTAGTTGGATCATTGTCTGGACCAACTCTGCAGCGATGAGAAGAGGCAGAGAGAAACTGTCGTAACAGCACATGAGCTAGGCCTTTATGTCTTTCCCTGGGGCAGCAGACATAGTAGACAACATTTGGATATTGGTTATATTGAAATTTGGGCCTATCTACAAACTTAATGACTCATGTCAGTAACTTCATTACCTAAGTTGGGATATACTGCTCAGTGACCATAATTAAGTGCTGTAACCTTACTTCTCACTCACATGCAACTCCAATTGCCAGTTCCTTTACGCGCTCCCTTTGAATTGTGCTTTACAGGTTAATTGTTCACCAAGCTGAATTCTCAAGTAGCAAAAATTGGCCAAATAAAACCCCAAAACAACAACTTGCAATGACCTGGCATTCCTGACACTGTTGACACTTCTACAGTCTTGGGGTCCATGTCCATATACGTTTGATCTGTGGTAGGAAAGTGCAAGCAGGGTGCTGGGGAGCTTCATCAAAAATCACTCTCATGCTGGGATTTTGCAATTATCAACATCGGCAGTAATTTCATTTTCTCCCAGCCAAATAATGGTCAAGAAAGGCCGTGAAAAAACAATCACTACCTATAACGTTTCAAGACATTCTTATTGATAATGCAGACGTTTGATTTGGGAAAGTGTTGAAATTTTTAGGAAAGCGCATCGTGATCATTAATGTCCTTTGTAAAGAGAGAGACACCTGAATGTAAGGTGCATTTGTTAGAGTTAGATGAAGTAAAGATGATTTTTCAGGATGAATTCAAGTAAATGTTCATATTACTGTGTGTGTGTGTTTGTTTTCAGAGTATGTGAATGCCCAAGAGATCCCCACAGACATGAAGTCCATCACAGACAGAGCTGCACAGACACTGCTGTGGACAGAACTCTTCAGAGGTCAGTTGAGCTTCACACATGCTGTATAAACAATATTTTATTTTATTTTATTTGGAAACATCCTTTCTTTTATCCCTTCACACAGCGTGTAAAATATCATTGCTTGTGCATCTCTACCAGTTAATGTGAGGGCTCAGTTCAGACTTTTTCTGTGTTGAGAGCAATACAGAAATGCTACTAAGTCCGACTTATTAAGATTACCACCAGCATGACTTTTCCGTACACGTGACCCGGTTGCACAATCAGACATGAAGTCAACACGGTCAGTTCAGATGAGCAGAATGGGATGCATATCTAAAAAGGGCTGAAGTTAAACTGGTACTGGGGTGGCCATGGCTCAGGTGGTAGAGCGGGTTATTCACTAATCAAAAGGTATTACGGTTGATCAACTAGACACTACACCCCATGTTGCTCCCAATAGTTGGCCAGCACCTTGCATGGCAGCTCTGCCACATCATTGGTGTGTAAGTGCAGTTTGGTAATTTTGAAAAGGGTGTCTCACTTCATCCAACCTCAAATAACTGACTGCTTTAAGTAGACATACCATGCATGAATACAACAGCTTCGAGACAATGCATTGGTGTTATTTTTTGGAATTTTTTTAGGATGATCAGTGTATTTTTCAATCACAAATTTATGTTAAATGCTGAATTAAATTCATTTTCTTACACCACTGGAGGTAGTTGGGTTACTGTTGTTTCTGTGGAAATGTTTCTGTGTTCATTCAATGCTGCTTGTGTCCATTTGAAAAAGTGTTCTCTTTAATTAAACATGAATGTGTTATGATATCAGGTCTGGGCATGACAATGAGCTACCTCTTCAGAGAGCCCGCTACCATCAACTACCCATTTGAGAAGGGACCACTGTCGCCACGTTTCAGAGGAGAACATGCCCTGCGCAGGTGAGAATGATTACTGAGCAACCTTCAGTGTGTGAATGTTGACATAGTTTTCCTAGTTGACACTGGGATGTCAGTCAAATGCATTGAAAACCACAGTCACTGAGAAGTTAGATGTGGTAGTATAGTTAGAATATTTCTTTTTCACAGTTGATTACTATATTAATGACTATTTCACAGTTTTAGAAAGAATTTATTTGATTGTTGTCTTAATAGAAAATACAACACAAAATAGCACCCTCTGAATATTGAGTCAGTGTGGAGTCTGTGAGGAAACGATAACCTCCAGTTGTGACAAAAATCCATTCATAAAAATTGTTGGCTTTTTAGACATATTTGAACAAGCAAACATTTGATCCTCTTTAAAATAGTGTCTACAGATGAAATAATACAGATAAGGTAATATAAATACACAATGCCACCGGAAAAGTAGCTTTTTAAAAAAACAAATT